GTGTGTGTGTGTGTGGGGCGGGTGGGGGTGAGAGACGAGGCGCTGGGGTGGGTTGGTGTGGAGGGGGAGACGCTATTTAGGCGACGTGCCCCGTTATTTCTATCATCATATTTACGGCCTTGTCAACAGAGTAATAAAAATATCTCACTGCTGTTTTGTGGTGTCCAAAGCGCTGCTCAATGTCGGGGAAGTGGAGAAACCCGCCGATCCGGCCGCCAAGCAGCCGCCACAGACAGAAGCTGCAGGCACCTGCGGCTGCAACAAATCCTGCAACTGCACCAAAGCTGCTGTGGTCTTCTCCGACCTCTATTCAACAGGTACAAAAAGCAACGCTGTAAACCTGGATCTCTATCACTGGCGGACTCCTGGTCTGTCTAACTGAGTCTAAACTTGGCCTTGCCTCGTGGTTGTGGTGATTTATTCAGTGTAAACATGCCATAAATAAGCTATTTTTAATAGTAAGTGTAGGGATTCTTTTTCAAATAAAAGAGTTGTTTTAATGTATTGCATTTGACATTTTACGCATCCACTTTTTGTTAATAATCTTCCATAAAATGTCATTTTTATTGATTTTCCAAGATGTGATCCGCTTTATTCAATAAAATACATAACATGAAAAATGAAACAAATGACAGAAGATGCGCCTCTTTGGGTGAAATAAATCATCATCTGTATCTATACGTCTACATTTAATATCTGCAATATTCAGAGAGGTGTGTTGCAGTGGTGGACTATTTGTGGAGAGGTCACCTTCAGCAGAATCTGAAGGTTTGAGGCGTTGAACGTCGCAGAAATGTAATACTTCCTTCAATTTTTAGACCTGTAAAAATATTATAAAGCTGTTTTTATTTTTATTTGTGGGCCTTAAGGATAATTTCACACCAAAACGCTCCCATTTTAATGGCCTACACATATGCATCTTAATGTTCCAAGATACAGGTTTTTTTCCCGATCCTCTCCACAGATCCATCTTTTAAAGTCCCAGACATATAAATCACTAAATGTCTCCCCCTTTTATTAATTTCTTATTTACAGACCTGTTACCTGCCATGGACGGTGACACCAAAACAATGACCTTCCTGCAGGAAGTTGTGGATATTTTAATGGCCTACATCGTGGAGTCTTTCGACCGGGAAACGAAAGTTATTGATTTTCATTATCCAAACGAGCTGCTTCAGATGAACAACTGGGAGCTGCAGGACGAGCCGGCGACTCTGGATGATATCTTGATCAGCTGTCGCGCTACCCTCAAATACGCCATCAAAACCGGTAGGCCCGGATCTCAGTGTTTGGTTCCCTGATCGATAAATAACACTTCGGATTTCTGACTTTTTTCTTTTCAAATATGCTAAAAACATTTCCAGTTTTGGCATGTTAGGAAATATTCACCACCTTTTTTTAAAATAGGTGTAGGCCTGAATTCTGGCGTGATTTGTGTTAAAAATGTTGAAATCACAATATATATTTAATATCTTACTGAAATGGACAGATAAATATGAAAACATATGCAGGGAAAATAACTATAGCAGCGCCAGTGCAAGTTCTAATTTATCCTATAACACAGAAAATCCTAAAATACGTGACAGAAGATAGAATCTACTAGAAACCACTTCTTATTCTTATTATGATAATACAAAAGTCAGCATAAGTTATATTTAAATATTTTAGGTGAATACTATCTCTTGAGGATTAACCTACAAAAAATGAGACTGAAGAGAGAATAAACAAGGTGGGATAAAAGGAAAAAAATAAATAAATGAATGATATTTATTAAAAAACATCAACCTGGAAGTTGTCCTCCTTTTCCTCCTCCTGTCCACCAGACCGATAAATGCAGTGACGCAGTAAATCTGGTTCACCAAGTGGGAGATAATAGGCTAATAACCAGGATTCATAGGCCAAGTCCATTATTCTCTCCTGACTGACACATAGAGACAATTTACAGCCACAAAAAAAAACGAAAACAGATATATTTTTTAGAGCTTCTTTGTTACCACTTTACTTTAACCCCTATTTAGTTTTTATAAACAGTTTCTAAACAGGAATAAATGGTTTCTAACACACTATAATGTAGTTGTAAGCAGATATAAGGATTTTTTTACATGTCTTTTAATGTACAATATTTGTTAACAATTCTAACTCATCCTATGAAGACATATTTTATATTATTAACTGTTTAATTATCTGACTATACACCACCATCCAGTAGCTGCTGACAAATGCATTAACAAACATTTATCTGCTTCAAACTACATTATAGTGTGATGTAAACAGTTTATGTATTTACAGTAAATGTTTATATGCTTCTTTTAAATGCTAAATTATGGGGTTAAAGTAAAGTGTTGCATTGCATGTTTATAATATGAAAGACTTTTGCATGACCATTATTTCTTGTTTTTGTTTTTACTTATTTCCAAAGCTCCTCGGTGTATGATGTTGCCTGTATTATAAAACAAAGGTGCAAAAACTAAATTTGGTAGTGTTTATACCCTCCTCTAAACTCCTACATTTTCCATGCAACAGCAAATGTTTTCATTATTCCTCAAGATGATTTAAAACGTCACTGCAGCGGAATTTCGAACCTGCAATTAAAGCATTCACAGGATGACAGTTTCTGAGGCTTTTGCACAAACTCAGCATAAACACATAAAAAGCATATTTCAATTTTCCTGACACCAGATAAAATGTTTAAATTGCAGCCATCTCACATCCTTTTCCTCTCATTTCTCCTTTGCTCCTTTTCATTCAGCCCACCCCAGGTACTTCAATCAGCTCTCTACAGGATTAGACATGGTTGGACTGGCAGCCGATTGGCTAACATCCACTGCCAACACCAATATGTAAGTATGTGGCCTGTGCTTCATCATGATTTTAAATGGTGATAATGACAATGAATTCCATTTCCGGTCCATCCGTATGCACTCTGCTCTGCGTCTGCACCAGCTGATAGCAGCTTTTTTTTTTTTCACTCAATCACTGCGAATGAAAGGGGTGAAATGAAAGGCATACACCCCCTCTTTACTCCCCCCTCTGCACCCCTCCCACCCCGCTTTTATCCCTCCCCCTCACCTCTGATCCCCATGGGGATTCAAGGGGAGAAAATTAGCCTTTGAAATTAAATTCAGACTAATCTGAAGCTAATTTTAGTGTGTGTGTTTTTGGGGTGATAAACCCTGCAAGAGTCAGTCTTGGCAAATGTGAGGGACCGTAGAATAAGCCTGCTGTTGACGCTGAGGTTTTTTAAAATTACTGCAGCTAATACATCACGTTTTAATGGAAAAATATAACAGGAGGCACATATTGTAAATTAACTTTTCAGTGCAGCAAGGATGATGAAAATGTAAGACTTCTGTACAACAGAGAGCACATCCGGGTCTTTGAAATGTATCCGTGGAAAGAGAAATGTAAATCTTTTTGTGGATGTTTGTGCATTTTGTCCAAAAGCATCACTGCAAATTTTGCCTCTTTAGAAATGAAAGTGAAGCCTGTAAAATCAACAATAATTCTACACCTTTAATACATAAAATATTGTTTCTATCTTTCAAGAATAATTTACTGTTTCATCTACATCTGTAAGAGCCATCAATTCCAGCTCTAAGTATGTCCAGAAACAGCCAAACTGCAGAGGAAAAACGTCTGTTTTCTGGCTATTTTTCGGTGATGAGTCATGGCACATTTTGTGTAACCAGCAACCATGTGATATCCCTTGTGTAACGCAGGTTCACCTATGAGGTGGCTCCTGTCTTTGTGCTGCTGGAATACGTCACTCTGAAGAAGATGAGGGAGATCATTGGCTGGCCGGACGGGCGAGGAGATGGCATTTTCTCTCCTGGTATGTGAGGTGACGCCAATCCCACCACCCCTCTGTTTCACCGAAAATGGAACTGCCTGCCTGTGCTTGTGTGTGTTGTAATGTGTCAATTTACATTTTGATTATATAAATGGAATTCGTTTCAAAGCCAATTAGCATAAAATAATGTTCTTTTTCCAACTTGAGCCAACGCCCTTTCGCCCTCCAATCTTTAATTTCTCCCATGCATTTCTGTTTGACACATGATGACGAGCAATCATTGGAGAATTTAATGACAAAGGCTGTGATTGGCTCTGACATTGTGGACAGTGACAGTGTGATTTTGGATGCTGTGTCATCGCCCCGATACGCTCTTGATGCGCTGTAAACAAAGGATTTTTGTAATTGTTGTTGTTCCATTATTATAAACATGCACAGACATTTTTAAACTCTGTTACGCTTTGTGTCAGTTAGTATGCATCATTCCCATGAGACTCTAGTTGAGGCTGTGATGTGGCCTGACACTGTAAATCACTGAGCCCTGTCTGTCCTCTAGGTGGTGCTATTTCTAATATGTATGCCATGCTGCTGGCCCGCTTCAAGATGTTTCCTGAAGTGAAGGAGAAAGGAATGTCATCTGTTCCCAGACTGGCGGCCTTCACATCCGAACATGTAGGCATTTATTTCTCATTGTGGCTGCATCGCCAGTGTGTGTCTCACTGGATCGAATAATGAGTGTTAATCACAGTTTCCTTTAATCAGATGTTAAAGATCTTCCTCTCCAGTGCAGGAATGACTTCAAATTGTGTTGGACATTAGCTGTTGCTGTGCTGGATGTGTGTTTTCTAAATGACTTTGTGTCACTTTCACACCACCGGCGCAGATATGAAGCTGACATTACGTGTGTCAGACGCAGAAGGGCACGAGGTGACTGGTGTGTCTGTCACATTATATGTCACCGCCTTCATCTTTAAAGGACATTTGCAAGATGCTGAGAGCAAAAAGCCATAAAATAACACTAACCTTTCAGCATCAAAGCTAAATAATGTTATTATTATTCCAGAAGTGTTTCCTCCTCCTGTGATCTGATATACAGGCAGTTAAACACAGTCTCTCTTTCATTTGTTTGTTATCTTTCAGAGCCATTTTTCAATCAAAAAAGGTGCAGCAGCTCTTGGCATCGGGACAGAAAGTGTGATCTGCATCAAAGCAGACGAAAGGTAAAATATTAGAAGTTAGTATAAACAGTAGATTCCAGTGGTGGAAAGTAAATAAATGCATTTACTCAAATATCATTTTGAGATACTTGTACTTATTTTACATACTTTAGCAGGCCTATGTTCATTTTCTGCTATACTTTACACTTCTTCTCCACTACAATTCAGAGGGAAATATTGCACTTTTAGTCCACTACATTTGTATGACAGGTGTTGTTATTACTTACTTTGCAGATGGACATTTTACCTAAAATAATATGTCATAGGCTTATAAAATATTAAAGATATACCCAGTGGTTTCTAGTAGGGGCAACTTTCAGATTTCCATTTAAGGCCCAAAAAGGGTAAAATTATCCAATATTTAACAAATAATAGCAAAGGTTTGACAACAGTAAAAAAAAAAAAAAGATTTCTTACGACCCCTTAGGCCCAACGCCTATACTGGGAAGCACTGTACATAAGGTAAACTAAATCCACCGTGCCAAGCTGCAACAGTAAAATGCTGCACACACAATGAATGAATGAATCAGTATATAATAATATATCAAATAAATACTTCAACTGTGATACATTAGGTACATTTTGAAGCAGAACTTTTGCTCGTAATTGAGTATTTCTACATAGTTGTGTTGTTGTACACTTTCACATAAATAAATAATCTGAGTATTTCTTTCACCACTGATGAATTCACAAACACCGCGTGGCGACTAAAGCTTGTTTTTCATTTGCAGTGGTAAAATGATCCCAGCTGACCTTGAGAGGAGAATACTGGAGGCCAAACAGAAGGTAATGTGATGCACATTTACAACTATAAATACTATAAACAGATATGATGATGAGGGAAATTTGGAAACATATTAGCTTTGTTATTATGTGCAGTCTTTCTTTCTTTGTGCCTTTGCAGGGTTTTGTACCTTTCTTTGTAAGTGCAACAGCTGGAACAACAGTATACGGAGCCTTTGACCCTCTCATCGCCATTTCTGACATCTGCAAAAAGTACAACGTCTGGATGCATGTGGATGTGAGTAACACAAATTGACCCTTCATTTGGAATCTGAAGGCCGCAGACACAGATCTGCATAAACATCTCCTGTTGCCAGCATCCGCAATGCACAATATCTATCCACAGTAGGGATTTTTATTGAAGGAATGCATAGAAATACAGAGCTAACCAGTGAGTTTGACAAATCTATTATGTCTGTCTCGCCTCTAACTGCTTGCGGTTGACCCAGATAGGAGCCAGCCATTTCCTATCTAACACTGGGGATTAGAAAAACTGGAACAGAGGCTGTAAATCATCTCTTCCCCTGACTTTGCCATCATGGGCCCTCTCACTGAAGGAACTCTATCTATTAATGAAGGTGATTTAGTCCTGACAGGGGGACACCTCTATTAAGAGACATAAATGGCCTTATCTATCATTCCTCAACTGCCGAGAGATGGGAAGAAAACATCCTGCTTTGGAGTGACGGAGTGTGTGTTTTTGTGGATGCTGCTTCGTGTGAAATGCGTGTGTTTGGGGGCCTTCTTAAGTAAACATTATGATTCTGGGAAATCTGGAAATGCCTCCACAGAAGCGTCTGGCATTTAGACCTTTCTGAAACCTAATGATGTTTCAATATAAGGTGCTGATCATCAATACTATCACTATATGTGACAAAGGATAAAGGATTTCTCCTCAATTTATTCCTCTAAGGGTAAAAAACCTTCTGACAAATGAAGGAATTAGACCATCATGCAAAACTAAAACTCCTCAATAGGATGGCAACTAACAATTATTTTCATTAACGATTAATCTGCCAATTATTTTTTAGGTTAATAATTTGGTCTTTACTAAAGCAAAAACCTAAAAAAATATTCAGTCTACTCTCACATAAGACAAAGAAAAGCTGCAAATCCTCAAAATGTAGTTTCATTGCAGGTTTATGATGAGAGTTTTCACCTTTTTTGTGTTGTACAGCAGGGTCTGTCTATTATCATTATTATTATTATTATTATCAAGACTTAACAGTAGAGGTAGACCCATACATCAGCCTGTATATCTGCCAGTGTAGCTTAGCAATATGTTTGTACTGACTAGTTTAATTTTCAAATATAAAATGTCTTCTTCAGTACATATCATGATCAAATTCTTCCTAATTTTAGTGATTCTTTAAAGAAAAAGAAATCTCAAATATTGGTATTTGCCTTATAAAGTCCAGGACTGCTCAGGCTATAACTAATGGATCCCCAATGGATTTAGTATAGCACTAGCAAAACCAGTGGCACTGAGGCTGATATATCCTGATTTTTGCTCCCTAGTATGTAGCAAAGCTCTAAAAACCATTGATCCTACATTCCCATAATGCCACTTATATTATATTATATTTTTTATTGTTAAACCCTCCACACCAGGTGAATGTCACATCTCATAAGACTTTATACAACTGTTTTCACAGGCTGACCTTGCGTTTAAAATCAGTGAAGTGTCACTTTAATAAAAAAACGTTGAACTTGTATGTTGGAGAAATCCTCGGTTGATACCCTGCTGCTGCTTTGTGGCAGTGCTAAATAACCCATAACCAAGTGTCACATGTCTGATTACCATCTGTCTGTCCTGTCAGGGTGCGTGGGGAGGAAGCCTCCTCATGTCCAGGAGACACAGGTGGAAGCTGGACGGAGTCGATAGGCAAGTGACATATACACAAACATACAAGCAAACAAATGAGGATTTAAACTAATGATCCATGATGAATGTTTTTGTTAACTTCAGGGCCAATTCAGTTACATGGAACCCCCACAAGATGATGTCAGTCCCTCTGCAGTGTTCAGCCCTGCTGGTCAGAGAGGAGGTAGGTCATGTGAAAACAAATATTCACAGTATGTGACAGTGAAATATGATGTTTTCTTGTGGTGATGATAAACGTTCTGGATCTGGTTTCACAGGGTCTGATGCAGAACTGCAACCAGATGCACGCCTGCTACCTGTTCCAGCAAGACAAACATTACGACCTTTCATATGACACCGGAGACAAAGCGCTGCAGTGTGGACGCCATGTCGACATCTTCAAGCTGTGGCTCATGTGGAGAGCTAAGGTAAGGAGAAGCTAACATGCGAATTTGCACTCTTGCGCATATTTTGCACGCAGTTCATAAATACAGACTGATTTTAAGAAGGCAGTTGGATTTTGTGGTGATAGACATCCTGGACAATGGTTTCTTTTTTCATCTTTAACCAAAGCAATTCACAGAAAACAATATGGAAACCTGACTGAAACATATTTAAGTTTAAAATAAAATAAAATTTAAAAACATGCTACAAATAGGATTCACCTAATTTAATTTGAGTCAACCTAACCTGAACCAAATGTTTATTTTGTTTTCCATTCAAGTCTTGGATATGGGTTCTTACACTAAAACATTTTGGACATTCATATCCAATTGTCAAGCATAAAAATATGATTTGTAACTTCTTATTATTATTACATTTCTCTAATCTAATAGTTTAAGTATTTTCCTCAGTATTAAATGTTTTAAAGTTGATTTATTTATAATATATTTCAGTGATACCACTAGAGGCAGCTCACGTACCACCAGTGGTACACGAACCGCAGTTTGAGAACCAGTGATCTAAATAAATGTTTCAAACCTAACAATCTTTTCTTTGACAGGGAACTATTGGATTCGAGGCTCAGATTGACAAGTGCTTGGAGCTGTCGGAGTACCTCTACAACAAGATCAAAGACAGAGAAGGATACGAGATGGTCTTTGATGGAAAAGTATGTCCACATTTAACGTTCACTCTCCACAAGAATAATTCATCCACAGCCACATAATCAGAGAAAAGTAGCTAACATTAGTCCATGTTTTTTCTTTCACCTCAGTGTATTCAGTGTCATTGTGGGTGACTTGATTGGCACGCTGTGTGCTCTCGCTTTGTGTTGGATGAATGCCATTTTTACCTCTAGCTGCCAGTATAATGTGCTGCTATTATGTTTAATGAATAGCATAACGGCCTGTAATTGCTCATATGCATATGAATAGCATGGTGTCTGAAATATCCTTCACCGAGCAAAGCTACAACAGCACAAACATATGCAAGTATGACGGGGTTATGAAGCTAAAAACTCTTTTATAAAAGAAGTGCTTGGACACCCAGAGTCATTTATAGTGAAAGCTCTTTAATGTTTCAAGGCTTATTGTTTTCCTGCTGAGCCACAAAAGGCTAAGAGCATCATAACCCAAAGGGTGATGGGAAAAAGCCAAGTCCTCTGGGCATCGGCCCAGGTGTTCACTTGTCTGTGCCTCCCATTGAGCCATTACATCAATCTGATGTTGAATATACTACCGCCGAACCAGCTCGGCTGTATAAATGAGGCTGGTGTGCATGGCTAGTCAGCTGTTGGTAATGAATGCTTTTCCACTCATATGCAGGCAGGCAGGCTGCTCCAGCAGGGCTTCACATGCCAAAAAATAGAGCTGTGTGGGGCTTTTAGACAGAGTATCTGAGAAAGAGGCAGGATACCTGTCTGATGCTGGGAACGCCTAATGGATTTCCTATTTGAGCTGAACAGAATCTGCTCTGGCTTGGTGAAATGGATGGGCTACGGCTACTTTAAGCACTTTTTATTTTAAGCTTTCTGTAGGACTTTAGGCAAGGATAATTGGTAAATGTAGAATATATATATATAGTTGTAGTTATAGGTATATGTACTGAATATGTAATGCTTGTACATGTGTGCGTAGGACTAAGTGGTATGTTTGGGATTAATATCATATTAATAATAATAATTTATTAATAATGAATGTATTCAAAAGCATATCAGTAAATCAAATTGATGTTAATATCCATTAACATGAGGAAAAAAACACTTTTTTAGTCTTAGTAATCTTATACTATTAAAATAAATACATGTTTTTTAATTACAGTGTGCCTAAAAACATAAAGCCACTATGTGTAGGAAGCTTGTGTGATTATAGCATCTCCTAAATTATTTAGATGACCTAAACTTCCATTAAGATTTTTATTTTTTCGCCACTTGAGGGCAACCAACCACAAGCTGTGCCACTCAGTCCGACAAAACATTAATAGGTTACATTATCACCATATAAGGTTGATATGGCTAACATGTTATCAGATGATTGCTAATTCACACACCCAGCAACTAACTAACTAGCGTACATATTAAAAGTATTACAACTTTTTTGCTAAAAACAGTGTGAGAGCGGTAAAGTTGTGAGCCTTAGAACCAAAACAATTAGGTGAAAGGTGTAAAACTGAGGGGAAGCTCAAGAGTCAAGGTAATAATTCTCTGTAAGTGCCTTTCATCATTAATTTACTAAAGTCAGTTAGAGCATGTCTGAAATTATTAGTTTAAATGAGACAATACTGTTGATTATATTACTACCACAAGGACAAGAATTGTTCACAATATTTACATGGTGGCTTTAATTTTAAACAGAATTTCTAAAAACAATAACACACTCATGTCACCATGAAACATTCCCATTGAAAATCAGTAATATTTCATTATTTCCCAGCCTTAACTGTGCATGTTTTGCTTCCTCTCATCTCTTGTCAACTGTGTGTTCCTACAGCCTCAGCACACCAACGTCTGCTTCTGGTACCTCCCTCCTGGGATCCGCTACATGGAGGACAAAGAGGAGAGAAAGAAACACTTGCACAAGGTGGGTGAGCCGAGATAAGGAGCCTGACTGTAATATCTACCAAAAAAACACCTTTCACTACACCTTTCATTTGCCTTACAAGCCTGTCATTCCTATCCAGCTTGACCATCACATGTCCTCCTTATTAGGGACAACATGGACATCCACTTATACTCTGGATTTAAAAAAATACTTTGCCATACACATTGGATATACTTTGTAAACTGTGGCAGTCTTAAAATAGGCTATGCTGTCACAGAGGAAGGGTATCACAAGCCAGACATAGAGGGATTGAGGCTATTCAGTTAGCTAAAGTGGCGGCCATTCAGAGAATCCCACAGCAGCAGGGGCCTACTAATTGACAATTAGGACAAACAGATGGAGTACGTGCCCCCCATACAAAGAGCTCTCTCCTCTTTCTTTCGCTGTAAAACCATCAGCCATAAATCGTTGCCATGTTTGTCATAGCACATCAAATAGAGACATTTCCTTTTGTTTTCCAAAGTCTGATTGAAAAAACACAGTGAATATGCTCAGCTGAACCTGAGCGTTTTGCCAGCTCGCTCTTTTCCACAGACTCTGACACTTAGATTGCGGGATGATGTAATGTTTCCCGATTAGCTCGTTGAGGAAAAAGCATTCCTCAATTTCCACTTAATGACTGGAAAATTGTCAAGACTGATTTGACGGAAATCTGCAGCAACTGATTGATTATTTTACAGAAACTGTCTGCCAACTACAACAGGACACCTGCAAGAGATTTAGAGGGAATGATTATGTGATGAGAAATACAGTACAAGCCACAGCACTGCAGCCTGTATATACTGTAAGCCCAGTGGTGCAAGAAGTACTTTATTTAAGTTAAAATGGCAATATCACAGTGCAGAAGTACTCTGTTACAAGTAAATGTAATTTAATTTACAGAGCCCTTCAAGCTCCCAATATCATGTGCAATCAAGATAAATGTTTTTTCATGACTTTTCAGAGCAATTTCCAACTTCATCACTCTAAGCATCAAAACATCATATTTATTAAGTTGATTTGTTAAGTTAAAATCAACTATAACAGTATAACTATAACAACATTTATATGTATATAGGTGCTAAAAAGTAGCACCTATATACTGAAGTGACCTCACGCAGCTAACTACTCTAGCAGACCATGCACTGACACTGAACTGCAGTTGCTAGAGGAGTTTTAAAAGTCTATTTTCATTTTCCAACTTACTCTCAGATTTATTAAAATTCCTGCTAGATTATGCTGGACCTCGATGGCACTGTGTATGAGTCACGGTTAATTTGAGCCCTTAAGCTATAACGGCAGCAAACTGTCGCCTCAAGTTATGAATCTCATATCCTTCAGTTGATTATGCTTCCCACTTTAGTATGTACACTGGTCTGACTTTCTGACATATGATTTACTATAAAAATATATATTCTGCCACAGCAACGGCTTTTTAAATTTGCAATAGCCACAAAATGGACCAAAAGAACCCCAAAACAAGCCAGAACGCAGTATGAACTTTGGTTGTGTATACTGCATTCTAGCTTGATAATCTGTGTGCACCATACTAACTACACTCTGACATAGAAAGACAGCTAATTAGACAACTAAAGTTAGAGGGCTATATCAAGTCAAATCTAGCTTGTGAGATAGTTGTGGCTAGGCTTGTTAATGTATTATATAGACTTCAGTAGGCCTGCTGAGTACAGATGAAAACATTGGCAAAAACAGAAACATTTGATTTCCATAAACTATGGACTGTGGATAACAATAATAAGAAAATGGATGACATTAGTTTTATGAGTTCTATGGCAGTGATTTCTGTGGTACAATAATAAGCTTAAAAATATATTAAATGAAAGCCCCTTAGTTCTTAGGTTAACTCTTGAAAGACAAGAACTAACCCTAAAATTATTTTTCAGAGACACATATAATGAAATGTTTTTCCTCTGTAAAGTGTTGGTTGGTGTTGGTCACAACAAAGACTGTGAGTTTTAAACTTGTAATTGACCTGCCAGAGCTCATCACAGCACAGAATCCACATCGCCATCAAGACTCTGAGCACAAAATAAATGACTGTCACTGCTTTAGTCTGGGAGATAACCTCTCAACTTGGCAGCAGCAGTCAGAGTGCTGTGGTGTACCCTGCTGGTGTCAGATCTAGCTGTCACACTAGTGGGAGATAATGGACTACGTAGACCAGGATCAGAGTAGTCTGGGGAGAAAATGTGTCTTGTTTAGTTGCTGAAAAAGAAAAACGAAAAGGAAACAAACACACATAACAGACTCTTTTCCAAAAGTCTAAGAGTCTTAGGAAAAAATAAAAATGGCATTTTGACATTCATGTTAATTTTCTTTGCTTTAGCAAGATTTGGTTCATTTCTAGTCTTTGTAGCCTGCTTGCTCGCTATGTCAGCTTAAAATACATAAAACTATGCATTTTTTTTAATATATTTATATAATTTATATCGTAATTGAAGGACTGACTCAACATTTCCATACTTTTTAAATAAATATATTTTGTGGCAACAGAGTTCAAGCTACATTGTTTACACCTCTGGCGGTCTATTAATGAGAAAACTACAGTGCACAGCTTGAAGATTAAGAATTAATCAGTTGGTTTTATGTGCAAGGAAGGATTTAAGAGGGACAGATAAGATTTAAGAAATTCCTTTTCTTGCAGAGGCTAGGGTAGCATAGTTTTTTTTTAGCCAATCCTGACACCATGTTATCTAAGCCAAAACTTAATTGCACAACTTTAAAAGCTGCATTAAAAGTGAACGCTGTTACTAACTCAAATCTAGAGATGCAACTTGTTTTGCATTGAAAAACTTGACCCCACAAGCTCCTTTTATTAGTGATCCACTTTGTTTTGTACTCACATAGTAGATAGTTGCCTGGATGAACCAAACCAAAGGAGTAACAGAAACTGTCTTTATGCAGTGTACGACGTTCTTCCTCTTTCATGTTGTATTTATTGGATCTTGCAGGTGGCTCCAGTGATAAAGGCCAGGATGATGGAGTACGGGACAACCATGGTCAGCTACCAACCACAAGGGGACAAAGTCAACTTTTTCCGCATGGTAATCTCAAATCCCGCTGCTACCTTCGAGGACATCGACTTTCTTATTGAGGAGATTGAACGACTCGGCCAAGATCTATAAGACTCATCTCACCAAATCCCTCTGTACTTTTCCCCTTGACGGATGAATTGTTTGTCGTGAATGTACTGGTAAACTTTTTCTTTTCGCTCTCTTTCCTCCAAAGTCACATATTTAAGAGTATATTTGAGAAAAAAGATATAGAGATATATCCGTATATTATGTATTGTAGCTTTGCCGTGGACTGACTTGGTCCAAAGCTATGTAAAAGTGCTTCTGTCTGCCATTCCTATAGTGTAGTAGATCCCAGAGTAGTGTACGTGATGTAACTTTATATGTACTTTTTGTGATATGAAATGCTTGTGCAACAGGTCGATGAGGAAGAGTTTATTTTTCAATCATTTCCCATTTGCCGAGTATGTTGTTAAGTGCCAAACGTGGTTGTGTTCTATTGTAACTTTACACTTTAAACTTCTGGTTTAAAAACTAAAAAAGCACTTCACCTTACCTCAGCTTAATCAACTGCCTTTACATCTGCGCATAGTACTACCACATAGTGATTCTGGACAATATTCTCTTGACTGGTGATGTAAAACAGTACCAGCACACATTAAATAATACCCCAACCAGAACAGGCCATCATAAGGATTTGGAAATATGTACAAAAGAAGGCAAGGAAACAATTTCCATCCAAATTACACAACAGCAAAGTCAATTTAAAGCGTTTATGAGGGCGTGTTGGTCCATCATGCATCACCTCGGCCTTTGATAGTTTGGTCTGCAGCTTATGATTCTTAACCTAATATTGTTGCTTATTATGTCTAACTATTTCTACTATTTTTACACGCACTTCTTTCTAGTGTACTTAAGGTGGTAAAGGCTTGTTGAACCCATTTTGTTTGATGTCACCAGCTACATGCACATGCACTAGATACCATTTCCAACCAGGCTGCATATTTAGCTGTGCTGAGTGTGCTTTACATGTTATAGTGATAATCTAAAATGCCAATAACTAAAACACTTCAGCGGTAACGTAAAATTATAATCCTTGAGATTTGATTTTTTTCAAACTCTTTTTACTACGATTAATGGCCAACATGGCCAACACAACATTTGTTTTAATAGCCATTCAGTGTGTTTTGGAATTTTTAACTGCCTCTCTTCATATTCATTTAAAGTGGCGGAGTCCGCCTTTTTCTGCTCAGAATAGTAGGGAATTTTTTATTTGACCTTATTGATAAATTCTGATAATGCAAAGTATCGTGTTGGAGAACTTGTGGCACAAAGATTAATTCATAACCTTGTTTTTTTTGGTAATGATTGTGTAGCGGAAGCAAAGCTGGATTACAAACTGGGCAAAGTGGGCACCTGCCAATGGGCCACCAAGTAATTTGATTAACTGCTAATTTGCCAAACTGAAAAACAATTTCAACAGACCCAGCATTGTTATAACTTTGTCTTCTAAAGGGACCCTGTGCCAAAGTCTAGTAGACCACTGCCCACTGATTAATCCAGCTTTGATGGGAAGATGCTTTTCTGGGCCAGTTGGCATCACATGACCTGCAGTGCCGACTGTGACCACTACTCCAAAAGCACAACATTGTTCCCGTTGTCATTTTAAATGGAAATCTGGGACCAGTATTATGAAAACCAGGACTAAAATTCTAAGGATTATAACTTTAAAGATGTAAATCTCTCATCTACAGTATCATAATGAGAGAAACCATTTGTCAGTGGCGATTTTGGATGAGCACTTAATGAAAGATCGAGGATCAGGGCAATAATGGTGTTTTTGTCTGAATAGAGAAACTTCACCAGATTTGCAGCTACTGTATACCTGACATCACTTGCACTAAATCATCAAGGGAGGAGGAGTATCCCTTAGCATTGCAACTGAGATTTCTTCTTTATTCATTCACAAGCAATATTCGAGTATGGGTCCAATCTATATACCCTGCAAAATATCAAAAGAAACAGTGAATTCAAGTGTACAATAGTAAAAGATAATCAAGTTTCCTACTACGCACAGTAGTTAGCAAATAAAAAATAACTAAAAACATGCTTACTGTAGGCAGGTTAGTTGATGGAATGTGAACCCTGATTCAACAAGCAGAGGTTCTGTAGCATTTTCATTAGAACAAGTTAGAAAAGCACAATTTGCTCAACATGGTCGGTCAGTGTACAATCACTTTTGATCATAGATTGTAAATAGTATTTCAAGATGTCCTAAGTACATATCTTTGTGTATACATAAGTGTATATAAGACATATAACCAGAGACTATTTGTGAGGTAAAGTTATTCATATTTTCTCTATCTCCAATATAGATTACCTGTATTTTCATCCTGTTAATCCAAAAAGGCTTTTTTTCCTGTGTGTATGTATGTATGTACGTATGTCAGATACTTGACTTGGTTTGTGACTCTTCTCGCTATTTCAAAGAAAACGTGTTTCAGGGACTGGCTTTAAAGAATCTGACAGATTTCACCTTGAAATACTTCCGAGTCTTGCTCAGAGACTCTGGTGTTTGGATTTTAAATGAATATGCAAAGCCATTTCGACTCTGAAGCAGTGTGTTTTTTGTGCACAAGTGATACTTGACAGTATGTGCCAATGTGTACCTTAGTGTGTTTGTAACTGTGTTGCCTTAGTATAAATTTGCCAGTATTGTCTAGTCTTCCTCCAAAAGGGAGGTTGTGCACTTTAGAGTATACACATGACCTAATAACGTGCAATGTCCAATGGTTGTTCATAAGTTGATGTTAAAAAAAAATTACTCAAAAATGTAACTTAAGCTCTTTGGTCTGAATGTGTCATGAAAGGGTCTGTTGGAAGTGAAAGCATTTAATTTTTTGCAGTTTGTAGATATTATAAAGCTTCTTGTTTAACTGTCTTATATCCCAACAGAGAGTACCCTAGAGTTTAAAATACTTTTTAGATTTATTGATCCTAGTTCTGTTCATTGGCGTACACACTGTGACACAGACAACATCAGATTTATTACAGCAACAAAGGAATCTCACTGTGGTAGTCTTGGAAAGCCAGACATTTTGTTTCTCTTGCTGCTGCTGCTAGACTTGCTTCCTTTGCACGTGCATGCGATGCCTTGCCTATCCAGCTTGTTTGATATACAGTCTCCTATATACCTATTTATATATATATATATACATATATACAGTACGTGTAGCTCCTGTAATTAGCTTTAGTGTCCAATGTATAGCTTAGCCTGTAGATTAGTGCACTGTCGCTCTAGCCTTTACATGTGATCTGTGTGTCTTGGGCTTCCTGTAAAGTTTCTCCGTGCTGCAAGCATGCTAACCTCGCCTAGCATTGTATTCCTCTCCGCGCTTGATCTGACTATCTCTATCTTCTGTCTTTCTCTTCTGCTTGAAGACTGTCGCAGCTCAGAACGTAGAGTATTATATCTATATGTGTAGTCCCTCAGCATGTCTCTCTGAAAGCTGTTCTCTGCTCTGCACCTGTAACAACCTTTTTCTCTCTTTCTCTTCCGCTTTGCCCTCTGGTAGCAGTGACAATGTATCCTTGCGCTTTCCTCTAATGTTTCTTGGCTACCCGCTGTCGTTCTGTTTGTGTGTCTGAGACGGCATGTTGACTCGTGTCATGGTGTCATGACGTCACTGTTTCTGATTTTGTTTTTCACCAAGGCCCTTGACTCTATGGGATGTACGAGAAACAGAATGAACAGGATTTAGATTTGATTGTCCAAATACTTGTCCAAAGCAAGTGTTGTTAGCCTTTAACACAGAAGTATAGAAAAGAATATACCCTGGTTTCTTGCTTACAGGAAATATCGTTTGTTTATGAAAACAATTAAAATCCCTAGTACTCAGAGTGCAGTAAATTTTCACTAAATATGGTGCAATTTTGAATCATGTATTCTGCAAACTGCTGTGCTAGCTTCTCTAAAACATTCATTTGTCCTGAACTATATGTTACGATTGGGAAAATAGAAATAAATATTGTCAAAACAAAGATTTTTGGGATCTTCTTTTTTTCTTCTTTTATCTATTGTCATGCATAAGGTAACATTTTCAAAGTAAACTTTGTTGTGTTTCATAGCTAGGGCCAAAAGCACTGTGTTACGTGAACAGAGGAGTTTGAATTGTTACATAAACTGGTGAGAAAGTCCTTGAACATCAATGTGGGACATGAAAAGAGGCACTTTCACAGCACTACACAGAAAGGATGTGTCAGCGGTTGCAGTACAGAATTGGTGATGTTTATGTAATATCTATGATCATTGTTTCAGTGCCTCTCAAATTATAAATTGATGCTAGTCACATTGCAGCACATCAGCATGCAGAAGGGTTTTGTTATCATTGCCTACAGTAAGGATTCTGCGTCCACACTGGACTCCAAAAAAGCAGCATTTCCTATAATTACATGCAATCCAGTGATATGACCTTTCAAAACTAATACCTTCATAGCATCTCTATGAGGTTTATAAAGTTAAACTTTGTTTTTTTGTTTTTTTGAGGAAAATATTAACTTACCAAATGTACTGATTTTTTACAGTACAAGCAATTCATTGTTTACTTTTCTGACAAGCAATATTATTTCCCCTGAGATTAAATGTGGAATATAAATAAAGAGCATTAACATTTACACATGCATACAGTCAGATTAACAGTCAGAGCAGATTAAAATAAAGAAAACAAAACAATACTGATCAAATATGTATTAGAAAAGACATGTTATCATGCATACCAGTACAACACAATAAAGTAGTACACAGTTTATTGTGTAAATAATATGCTTCTCAGTGAAAAATGTGACATTTCCGGTAGGTTACAAATATCTCTCTAGATGGCACTGCTACCCTACAATTTAGCCATGATTGAGGGAGTGTATTTTTACAAATGTGGCTGGAATTTTTGGCAAATAAAATGTATTTTCCGTTATTGTCTGAATGAGCTGTTATTTTTTACATTTTCCTTTCAATCATTTGTGATTACAACATCTTTTTATGTCCAAACCAAAGAAGAAATGATGAAAAAAGACATACCAAACTATGTGAAAGGTTCCCAGATGGTTTGCCTCATCGTTCCCTCTCATACACGGACGCAGATACAGTAGATAAAGAGGAAAGTAACACATGGAAATAATTGCCTGACAAAGACTCGCCACAGAGCCAGACAGAGAATTATCCTATTTGTTTATTTAACTGACATAAAGCGCTCAGATAATAAAATGAGTGATATATATATGTTTTAAAAAAACATCTGGGGCGCACACTATCAGCTGGCTCTGAATGAAGCCACTCACAGGAAAAGCATGTTTTTAACATTACAAATATGACATGTAATCATTCTGTTACTTAACTGTTTCCACACAGCAGTTTGAGTGGTTCTGCATGATGAGGTCCAAGATAGTTCATTGCAGTCATTGATCGATCTCCAACACATAATCAATCCACAATAGGAGAGTGTGACAATACAAAGAAAATCTGCCTCACTGCTCAGCCTTCTTTAGACAAGATTTTAGCATGTAATCTGGCTGACAACTGTACCAAATGTCCTTCCTGTATGGCTACAATGTTGAAAGGATGTGGCTACCATGTTACAGTCTATGTCCACCACAGCTAAATATATATGTATAACATTATACAAGTTCTCGTTCTTTGCTTAGTTGGCATAGGTGAGAATAGTCCTGCAGTTCTTTCTAAATCTGTATTAAAGGCTCTAGAGGCTGATATGTTGATCATTTTCCAAAGCATGAATATGTCCAGCGACTCTAAAAGCAATCTGTCAATTTGATTACAAGTTAAAAAGCAGTAAACATGACCTTCATGAAGTTTATAATGTTCAGTTTTTGTTGTTTTCTGTTCATTTTAGAGGCTGTAGTTTATAGTGCTGTTGAGTTATATTGCATTATACAAAGAATATTCAGTCTACCCTTAATTATATAAATGGGGTTGACACTTTGACCTGAGGGTGGTACACACATGTTGATTGTAGAGTTCAAAATGGAAATGGTTGATCTTCTGCCCATTAGAATTTCATATTTTTTGCATATGTATAAGTACAAGTAGAAATGCTGGCCTAATGTTGGAACTAGAGAAAAGGCTACTACAAACATTAGGGTTCTTCCTCTGGGGATAATGAATTTTCTTCACAAATGTATTGTGTCGGTTTTTCTCAATGAGATATTCAGTCTGATGCTGGCGTTATAGGAAAAGTCTGCGGTCTCACCAAAGGTTTCACAGAAATTCAGCCAGTAGTTTACAAGATTCTTTATCAGTGCCCAGAGAACCAAATACTAAACTTAATCTATTTGTAGAGCTAAATTCAAAACCCAAGTTTAACTTTAATAAACCTAATGCGGTGAATTTGATTTTGTAATACAATAGATATAATCTTTTCTAGTGATATAAAATAAAATAAATAAAAACATGTTCATGAAGTTTTGAATGAACTGACCAACAGGCCAAGCTGCTAGCAAGGCAAACAGGCAACTGTCTTTAGAGGGGAACTTAGCTAGAAAAAATAGAACTCCAAAAGAGGAACTCTGGTCAAAGCAAAGATAAAATATAAAGTGCAATGATCATGGATGATCAGCAATATAGTTATTCTTATTTTAACCCAAATAAAGTCTTTTAGGCTATATATGTGTTGTGTTAAAGCACACTGAAAACATTAACACACACAGCAGACTTACCAAGCCTCAGATATACGGTATCCACGTGCAGACATGAAGTCATGAGCTATCCTCCATTACAGGCCACATGAGGAGTTTTACGATCCACTGTTCTTTCTGCAGAGCCACACAGAGACAAAATGACTTGTCAGCTCCTCCTCCATTAATTATCATCAAGGAATTACCTATGTGTACTCTTGACATCACATTTTGGATTCTTGTGTCAGGAGACCAAATTAATTTCAATCAACCTTGACACGCTGCCTCTGCAGACTCTGCTGCTGTTATCTTCCTCACAGGCAACTCTTCCACACAGTGCAAATATTTTCAGCACTGCTTTTACAGATTGAAATGGAAGAATAAGAAGAATAATGACTAAATGACCAAGTCTGACATTTGTCAGAGATTCATCCTGCAGGGTTGCTTCCTCTCAGTGATCAGAGACGTTCCCACATGAGCCGTTCATCACCAGCGTCACCTGGATGATCTGCACAGCGTTTGCGGCAACCTCGGCCATGTGGATCACATCACGGAGCTTGTAAAGCCCCGACACTCTAATCCTA